GAGAGAGAGAGAGAGAGAGAGAGAGAGAGAGAGAGAGAGAGAGAGAGAGAGAGAGAGAGAGAGAGAGAGAGAGAGAGAGAGGAATTGGATGGAAGGAGTTGTGCTATTCTCTAGTGCTTTCCATTCATTTGTGTGCCGAGGAGGCTTAGTGACCTGAGGAAGAGTTTCTTACAGGTTGCTTTCTGATTTGCTGCCCTGTTTCGGAACTCCGACTTTCGCAGTCGCTCAGTTTTTGGACATCTGACGGACTTCGATTAGACTAAGTGTTAATCTCTAGCTCGCATCCAATAGGTCGCTCGAGCAGAAGTACTTTCGCGGGAGCGGCGTTTCACAAACGCAGCGGCATCCGATTAGTGTAAAACTCGAAGGTCGCATCCGATTCGTCAGTCCATCAAGTACTTTCTTTTTCTTGTTGTTTTCTTTTTCTCGTTTTTTCCGGTCGGATATAACAACGTGGAATTCAAAGACTTTTCAGAAATTATTTTAAACATGACGATGAGCAGACTGTAAAAAGGACTGAATAGTGTGATGAAGCCCGACCCCTGTCTATGATAAGTATGGGAGCTATTGGATTGGTTGTGGGGGCTCAAGATGGTTCCCTCCTCTCATGGCAACATTAGAGTTCAATCACTTCGCTATATGCTGGAAACGCCTTAGAGTAGGAAGTTGGAGTCTGATTTGCAGAGAAGAAGAGGAAGAGAGGTGCTTTGGGGCGGGAGAAAGGGGGACAAGTAAAGATCAATGGAAGGGACGGCATTTCCGACAGGGTAAAAAACACAGGAAACGGACGTCGAGTCAAACGTGGTGCAGGTGGCTGTTAACAGATTAGGCAAAAAACGGACCCAAACGGGCCCAATCGTAGCCAAACGCAACCAAACGGAGGAAGCGTTTGCTGTTGTTCTCGTTGTTGTTGATGTTGTTGTTCTTGTTCTTCTTCTTCGTGTAGTACTTGTATCAGTAGTTGTAGTAGTAACGGTATAGCAATAGTAGTAGGTGTTGTTGTTGTTGTTCTTCTTCTTCTTTTTCTTCTTCTTCTTCTTCTTCTTCTTCTTCTTCTTCTTGTAGTACTTGTAGTAGTAGTGGTAGTAGCAACAGTATAGCGGTAGTAGTAGTAGTTGTTGTTGTTGTTGTTGTTGTTGTTCCTCTTCTTCTTCTTCTTCTTCTTCTTCTTCTTCTTCTTCTTCTTCTTCTTCCTCTTCTTCTTCTTCTTCTTGTAGTACTTGTAGTAGTAGTGGTAGTAGCAACAGTATAGCGGTAGTAGTAGGTGTTGTTGTTGTTGTTGTAGTAGTAGTAGTAGTAGTAGTAGTAGTAGTAGTAGTAGTAGTAGTTAACTATAGTTGTAGTTTTTGTTCTTGTTCTTGTTGTATTGTTGTGCGTTGTCGCGGAACGAATCCAAACGGAGCTAAACGGAGCCAAACGGAGAGGAAGTGATATTCTACGATAGTTTGTCTCATGAGACTGATAGTACAGAAGGCTTTATTTCGAGTTAAAAAAATAGACAGGCGTGTGTAGAGCGATCTGACCAAATAGACGGGGTTGGTGTTCGTTTTGCTAGACTCGAGAATCGCTTGATTATTACTAAAAGTAACATAACATTGCCATAAATTTCGATAATATGATTATAGCTGACTCTCAGAGGTGTTTCAGTATAAGATAGAATTTTTGGTGTCGGAGAAAAGATGGAATTTTCGATTTTGGATTACTGTTATAATTTTCTGAGATGGAATATTTGATACTGGGTATTTGATTCTCGAGTAAGGTTGTTCAAAAAAATGCAATGAGAACTACAAGGAGAGTAAAAGAATGATGCTGGTGTTTTTTCACAATAGGTCTGAGCCATCGATCTGTCATCCTGGTAGTAAGATGAGAATGAGGATGATGGGCAGGAGGAGAAAATGTTCGTGATCCTAAGATGGTGATGATGATGGTGATGATGATGATGATGATGATGATGATGATGATGATGATCATGATGAATTCATAACCGACACGGTAGATATAGATACTGTCTAAGCTTTCGCGTTCCGTGTTTCTGTTTGTCCTCCTTCCAAGGTGGCAAACAGGTTCTTGTCCGCCTTCTCCCCCTGTTTGGCTGAACAAAACCCTCTGATCCAGTCTGCACCAGAGACAGACGGTCCCTGTTCTCTTCCTGCTTATGTAGCACGGTAATAACACCTATACGAAATTGACCTCCACCTCCCTCCCTCCCTCCC